GCCCGTGCGTTGCAACGGAAGAGAAAACACAACACACGCTTTTAACCCAACAACCATTACTCAAGACCACAATAGGTCCATCTTCTTTATTTTTGCGAGGCATCATATTTGTGTTGCCACTTATCCTCCTTCTCACCCTCGCCGGCGATGGCCTCGGTGTTCACACAAAACAAAAAAAACATGTTTGAATATGGTTAATCCTAAGGCGTCTCTCTCTCTCTCTCTCTCTCTCTCTCTCTCGCTTTCTCTCACTCCCGCGATAAGAAATCTGTTGTTTTCCCCTGCGACATTTTTTAGAGGTATGCATGTGTAGTTATCGATGTTTTCTTTTCCCTATATGGTTATAGTGGGGCGTTTATTTGCAATCCGGATCGCCGCCGATATGAAAGAAAAATGAATCTTGCGCTATAAATTATAAGTTTGCTTCCAAAACAATATTTTAAAAATATTTAACAGGTAAAATTAACAACATATTTAAAATCCACACATTTTTCTAATAAAATTTCATATATAATATGTTAAAATCGAAGTTACGGTTTAAAAGATACGCATAATTTAGAAAATCATCTCTTTGACTTAAATATATTCCAAAATAATATTTAAAATACTTAACAGGTAAAAATAATCTCATATTCATATTCTACATATTTTTCTAATCAAATTTCATATATAACATGTTCAAATCGGTGTTATGGTTTAAAAGATATGGATGATTTAAAAAAGCATTTGTTTGACTTAGATATGATCCACGGATGAATTACCTAAAATATCAGGGGGGTTTCAAAAAATGTAAAATAATTGTTCGGGTGTGACTTAAATCCGGACCGTGGGTTGATTTCATCAAAATATAGGGATTTTTCTGAAAAATGCCATGACGGACGACCGAAACCCAATTTACTTTATTATTAGGTAAAGATAAAGATTGGAAGCATTAATCAAGCCTCCACGTTAATCCTAGAAAACATAATAAATACTCCGTTAGATCTGGAAATTATAAATCTTCAGCCATTGGATGAAGTGCCTCAAAGAGTCCTAACAATCTATCCCACGTTCAAGAAAAAAAAACCCTCTACCAATCTCTAAAAAAACTATACAAAAAAATGTCTCAAAATCAAAACGGTTGGCCCTCAACCCGGTCTCCTCCCTCAGGCCTCTCTGGATTGTACCATAAATTTTTTGAGCCGTACAGTTAAAATCAAGACTGGACCTGCAAAAAAAAGGACTCTGCATCCCAAAAAAAAAGTCTACGATCCCTATTCTGTCCTCCCAACCCACGATCCTGTCCTCCCAACCCACGATCCCTAGCAAACTGGTAGCGGCGAGTTCGATCGGCGGCAAATGGCGCCTCCCGGATCCTCCTCTGATTTGGCGCCTCTCGGATCCTCCTCTGATTTCTTCCTGCTATATCGTTCGCTTCTCCCATGTGTGTTGAATTTCATCCGAGAAGAAGAACACATGGTCTATTGATTGCCTTATCAGCCGCCTTGATCCGTTCTGGAACACTAGATGGCTTATAATGATGAGGGATTGCCATCCAGGGTCTATTGATTTTTATTATTTATCCATGGGCGCTCTCTCTTCTTACTTCTGTTCTCCAACGAAGTCATGCACCACGATTAGCATCATCCATCTGTAACTACTGGCCGCCATTGTAGGAGCAACATAGATTATATTGAGGCTGGGGGCACGGGTACATTTGCCAATACCATTGTTGACAGGGACAAAAACGGATCTATCAGATCATAAGTGACTAATCCATGTCCCAAAGCCCCGGCGGCCGGCCGGTTAGGCCACAGGCTGTAGGCACCAATACTATTGGCGGCCCAGCAGTCTCCATCGGCATGGCCATGGACGGAACCTGGGGCTGTTGTTCTGCCACACAACACGGGTAGCTTCTGTATGTCCAGTTCAATAGGCCAGATAAATGAGGATTTATATACGAAGATGTTGAGGTATGCAATCGTGTCATATGCTTAATGATACTTAGTTAGATGGTCGTAACTCATAACCGGTTTGTGCTATGATGATAGTGCACCTGAGATCATATTTGACGTGCATGTCGACTTGGTGAGGCTGCTCTCTATGACCATTTTTTATGTATCGATGGTTTGTTAGAGTACTACTTTCATAAAATTAGTAGCAGTATCCATCGGATGTTTTCTTTCTCCCCATGATACTTGATGTTGTTGATTGCTTGACTAAAAGTTCAATTTAAAGGCGTGAACTGATTTAAAGTGAATCACATGTTGTGTATGCTACAACACTGAATTATCTTTCAAATCAATATTTTGCACCTGAGATTAATTACTTCTGTACCTGGACACTTGCTACCTATGGTCATATCTTCATCCAAAGGGGTAAGAAAACAACATAAGAAGGTATATCTGCATATATTAACTGACTTTTAGATATGCACCTGTGGTCATGCCCCTATTCAACACTTCAAAAGGCTACAGTAAATATAGATTTGGTAGCGTATATATACCATTTGGAAGCTCTTTGACTAGATACCATGACTTGAAAAATCTTCCTTAACACCTCCCATTAATATTTTTTATTGTATTACAGTGTGTGCAACAAAAGGCATGTTGGAAATTGAAGACGTACATGCTAGAAGAGCTTGACTGCCTTTGTGGTTCTTATACCATTTGAAAACTGCGACTCGAAGGCTGCTATCAGGCCCAGATCTTAATATTGTTATACATGGAAGACGACATATATGCATAGCTATATCGAAAAATTGCAGGTAATCTTTTTTGTGAGTCTCCAAGTCTGAATTTTTTTCTCGAGATTTTCATTGTTGATGCACATTTGTGTAGCAGAAAATAATAATATACGTTTCTCTCTCTGTGTGTGGGCGCGCGCATGTTAAAATCCATGTCATATAATGTTTTCAAATGTTTGCTTTCCTTCCATATCTATTGTCATTGTCAGTGTTCCACTCAATTCATAGATGGTCGACTAAGGTATAGGGTCCTCCACCTTCTTGTTATAAACAAACTTGCCAATTTTCCAACTTCATGCGACTCATCCCATACACCCAAGAAAGAAATCTGGCAAGACAAGTTCCTCATTTATATTTTGGATAGATGCAAATAAGTATTTTGTTTTCAGTTTCACGGGCAGAAGGAGTCTAAATTCAAGAATTAGTACACCTATGTAGTTATTATATTTACAATTCCATGACCGAAGTATATGTAACTTGGTCAAGGAATTTTTAACCTATTTTCACTAGGATTGGTTATGTGTCAAGTTCTCCACTATGACCATTCTGGCATGGACGTAACCAATCTATTTGTCTCGGTTATAGTGTTCTTGACAAATTGAATTATATTTTCCATGAAGAAATTATATGTTGTGTCTTCAACCGTAATGTCTTAGGTGGATTTCTAATTTTTTTTTCCATTTCCAAATTCGTAAGAAATTTAACATCCCATAACTGCTATCAATACTTCTATTTTCACATGTTTTCCAAAATAACTAGCCCGTGCAGTGGCACGGGTGGATGACTAGTGCATGCTAAATTCAATCAGACTCAGTGACACCGTACCGCACTCGCCGCCATGAGGGCCAGCCTCCAGTCGTCTTCACAGCCTACATCTTGGTAGCCCCATGTACCATGGGAGGGCACCCCCTGAACCCATGGGCATATGCACTCACTTTTCAAAAAATGCATTTTAAGCACGTTTTGAAATGTTAAAAAATTCAAAAGAAAATATCACGCATACATATCCGCAAATGTGTGTATGCGGCACTATTTTTTGTGAAAAAAAGTGTTTTTGTTTTGTCTCCGCAGAAAAGACAAATTTCAGTTCTTCTAAATAGTGTTCTACGACATAATTTTTTGTCTTTTTTGCACGGTCCACAAAAAAGTTAATTTTTCGTGAAACTTTATGCACGCACATAGAACATGAAGACGTACCCTTGTAATTTTTTTTCCGATTTTTTTTAGCATTTAAAAATGTGTTTTCTAAAGTGGGTTCATATGTGCCTGGGTTCATCCATGCACTTCTCCATGTACCACCAAACATCTGACGAAACCATCGCTTGGCTTCCAGTTTGGCGCGTGCGGAAGTGACGACCCGGATTCTTTTTCTTCGCTCGCTCTCTGCCACATATGGTTCTGCTGAGGTTGGAGATGTCCTAATCTCTTTGACAAGTTGGCCTTCCCCAACCAAACAAGTCACTGTTAGGTGTTAGGTTAGGACGTATGTACACTAGAATCTAGACGAATATTGGCAGCACGCATCCTTGGATTATTCCCGAGGAAAGGTTCCTTGCACCTTCCTCTCTATAACTTTTAGTCCTCCAGATTAATCCCCCATTAATATAACCTATAGTGGGAAAATAAAAATAAAAGTTGTAACCGCTTCCGCTGAATTTTCTACACCAGAAGATGATAGACTGATGGATACCACAAAGCTCTGCATTTTACTCTGTTCCATCAGGAAAAGAAATCACACACAACACAACCAAGAGAATAGAACCAGGAGGCTAGCTTCAGAGATGGCAGCCGAGGCGCTGGTGAGCGCTTCCACGGGGGTGATGAACTCTGTCTTGGAGAAGCTGGCCACTTTGATGGGGGACGAGTACACAAAGCATAGGAGCATGCAGCGGGAGGTGGCGTTCCTCAAGGACGAGCTTGGCAGCATGGACGCTGTCCTCAAGAAGCTCGAGAACATGGAAGAGGAGATCGATCCACAGACCAGAGAGTGGAAGAACCAGGTGATGGATATGGCGTTTCACATCGAGGACTGCATCGACGACTTCATGCATGAATCTGGTGAGGATTCTAGCAGACCAGATGTCGGATTTGTTGGCAAGATTGCTCACTACATCAACATGTTGAGAGCGCGTCACCAGTTTGCCAACCAAATCCAGCAGCTGAAGGCATGGGTCAAAGATGTGAGTGAGCGTCGGAAAAGGTATAAGCTCGATGAGTGTGCCTCTAGTTCTAGCTATGTATCTGTAGATCCTCGGATGCCTGCGCTCTATGTCGAGGCGGCCAACCTTGTTGGCATGGAGGGTCCAAAAGAGGATCTTATCAACTTGTTGACTGACCAAAAGGCTGCATCTGTCCAGCCTCTTAGAGTGGTTTCTATTGTTGGGTTTGGGGGTCTAGGAAAAACCACACTTGCAATTCAAGTATACCATGAGCTTGGAGGGCAATATGACTGCAAGGTTTTTGTGTCCATATCACAAAGACCTAACATGATGAAGCTTCTCGGTAGGATCATCAAAAAACTTAAGATGCCACAAGCAACCCATACCGATGAGATGCAAGATCTCATTGAATACATCAGAGAATATCTAAGAGAAAAAAGGTACTTTAGTAACTTCTCAATCCCTATTGTATGCATACTTGATTTGAGGATTTACAGTCCCCTATTTGCCCCTTCTACGTAATTGAGTGCATATTTAATATAAAATGTTGGCAGGTACTTTTTCGTCATTGACGATATATGGGACGAATCAGTATGGGGAATTATTCGTTGTGTGTTCCCAAAGAACCAACAAGGTAGCAAAGTTATCGTAACCACAAGAATTGAGATGGTAGCTAAAGCAACCTGCAACTACCAGCATGAGTTTGTTTACAAGATGAGTCCTCTTGATGATCAAAACTCAAGAAAATTATTTTTCAGTCGAGTTGGACAGGTTGATCTTCAGCCATTAGAAGAGATTTCAATTGAAATTCTAAAAAAATGTGGTGGTCTCCCGCTAGCCATTGTCAGTATAGCTAGCCTTTTGGTCAGTCAGACAACTAGATCAGTGACACAATGGAAGTATGTGTGCAATTCTTTAAGCTCAAATTTGAGAACAAACCCGACTTTGGAGGGGATGAGACAAGTATTGAACCTTAGCTATAACAATCTTCCTCATCGTCTCAAAACATGCTTGCTATATATTGCCATGTATCCAGAGGATTACATTATTATGAAGAGAAATCTTTTGAGGGAATGGGTGGCTGAAGGTTTCATCCCTAAAGTACAAGGCCAGGATGCAGATATGGTCGCTGAAAGTTACTTTAATGAGCTTGTCAATAGGAGCATGATCCAACCTACTAAAATTTGGTATGATGGACAGGTCATAGAATGTAAAGTTCATGATATGATTCTTGACCTAATAAGACTCAAGTCGGAAGAAGAGAAGTTTCTTAGTGTGGCAGATGATCTACAGGGCATAACTGCGGCATTGCGGAGCAAGGTTCGTCGACTTTCCCTTCAGTTGGATTATGGAGCAAATGAAGGCACAATAGAAGCAAGCTTAAGCATGCCACATATCCGATCTCTTGGTATTTTTGGCAAGTTTTGTTTCAAGTTCTCTATGTATGAACTCAAGTCAATCCGAGTTCTGAATGTGGATTGTCAGGGTGCTGGCATGGCTGATAGGATTGACCTCACACCAATCTGTAAATTATTTCATCTAAGATATTTGAGCATCATCAGCCACAAGGAAGATATGCCAACCCTTATTCTGCCAAGCCTAATTGGGGACCTGAAACATTTGGAGACACTGAAATTGGATATACATATTACTACTTCCATGCCATCTGATATTGTTGATTTGCCTTGCTTGTTGCATCTGTATGTTCCTATTGGAACAAGGCTACCTGATGGAATTCGTAGGATGAAGGCCCTACGTACTCTGAGGTACTTTGATGTGCACATGAACTCGGTGGATAATTTAATAGGCCTCAGTGAACTTACAAATCTCAGGTCTCTTGATTTTTGCTCTGATCATGATAAACAAACCACTAGCCAACATGGAATTTCTATGGGCATTTTCTGGTGTTCCGTGTCCAAACTTATGAGGTGCAATCTGAGAAATTTTCGGTCTGGTAGTAAGATATTTTCTCCTCAATGTGTTGAGTTGGCTTCTCTGATCACTAGCAATACTGAGAGGAATCTTGAGGAACTCCATGTTGCAGCAACTTGGACGTTTTCAAGGGTTCCAATTTGGATCGGTCAACATCAAAAGCTCTGCATGTTGGGAATTACCGTTGAGAAGCTGATGCAGGAGGATATTGATTTGCTCGCAGGGTTACCTAATCTACTGTACCTATGGTTGTGGATAAGAAAATCGCCAGGAAAAAGGATTATCATCGGTGGTGGTGCGGTGACATTCCGGGTTCTCAAATATTTGAGAATCACGTGCTTCACCCCGTGTCTAACCTTCATGGCATGGGCGATGCCCGAACTCCAAAACTTGGTTCTGGAAATCCATGAGCAAGGGGTGGAGCATCTCGGCCCCTCGGCCATTAAGGGCGTGGAGCACCTGCCGAATCTTAGGCAAGTTGACGTTGGTATTTGCTTTGAGCGAGCGGATACAGAGTCACAAAGAAGGGCTGCCGACGCGGAGGCTATCTTGACGAATGCCCTCAGCGTCTCTTCAGGACACCCAAGCATCAAGATGAGGCTTGAAGATGGCATGAAATATTTTAAACTTTCATGTGCCAGTTCAGATGGGGGTGATGAGGTGGCGAGGCAACCGAACGATGCAGGTACCCTCCTAGTAATACATCTGCTTACTTGGATTCCTACAACACTTATTCATCCTTGGAAACCAGTATGTTTCCACGATCCTTTGTTGGTGCATGCATGCACACCAAATAAGTTACTCCTGAAACATCTTTCCTCTGTTCTTGAGGTCAAATATATGTGAATATATGAAGCCTAACACAATTTTCCTCCTCCTCTTGTTTTTCATATTGGCAGTTGATGGATCTGCCGAGGCAGCCACACATGCTCCATCAATCACCGCTGGTAGATGAACAAGATTACAAGAAATTCACAGTAGGGTGCGGAGCCGCACACAACCAACACGTATGGTACAATAGTCAAGATCCATCGCTCCCGAGACTTCGCACTATACATCCAATGAGTCATTCCAAGTGTCCACCATTTGGATGCTCTGCTTCGACCAGCAGTGGTGGAGAGGAATGTGAGCAGTGGCCTGGCGCCTGACAAAACTAAGGAGGAAAACAGAGCATCGGGGCTCCGTGTCGGTTAAATTTGGCCATTAACAGAGCATTTGGTAAACTGGCACCGCTAATGCCAGCTTACTATAGGGAGTTGAAATGATGATGTATGGAAGACAAGTACTGGACTCACTACCCCAGTTAATTAATTCCTTTGTAAACTGATATAACATCTACTAGTAATCTAAAAGATTTAGTTTACAGAGGGAGTACTATAGTTCGCATTGCATGCGTCTGATGGCTTGCACGACAGGTCAGCTAGGGACCTAGGGTATATACGTGAGCAGTAAAATCAATCTGGGTTGAATCCGATTATATCATCATTAACATACCCCTCGATATTCCCTGCTAATCGATCGGCGTAAAACCGTGTAATGGGACGTTCGTCTAGTGCACAACAGAGCAACCAAGCATAGAAAACGTAGAGGCGACGGCGGCGAGGCGATGAACAGGAGCGCTACCTGCACTCGGGCGTCTGGATTTGG